AGGGGTGACAGAGGATGAGATGGTTGGATGGCATCATTGATTCAGTGAACATGAGCTTGAACAAACTTAGGGAGATAGTGATGGACAGGGAAGCCTGGCATGCTACAGTCCATGGGGTCGCAAAGAGTCAGACACAACTGATCAACTAAGCAGCAACTGTAATCAGTGGATTTTGCCATCAGTTTTTCCAATGCCGTGTTGAAACTGGGGCTTCTCTAAGGGGTCTACTCTCCCCTGGAGAAGTGAAGGGTGAATCCTGTGGCTTAGAGGCCTTCACATCAGCCTCCCAGCCAGGTCTCATCTGTTTCCATACATTCACCCTGACTTCCCTGACACTCCGTCCTCTGAGAGGGGCTTCCAACTTCCCATGTGACGGAGAGCTCCTTCCTGTCTGGGCCTCTCTACTCCACTCTTTGGAGCACTCTATGCTCCAGTCCTCCAGGCTGGCTCTTTATAGAAAACATCTATTTTTGAGGGTTCTGGAAAAAACCCGTCCCCTCTTAGCGAAGCTGGGGTTTTCAAATAAAGTTGGTTTACTGTTAGACTGTTGGCTTGCTATAGATTTGAAAAATCCTAATTAAAACCCAAAGCCAAGGACTTAGTTATCGTAGGCCAGGTCAGGGTTTCTCCGTCTCGGCACGGTGACATTTGGGACTGGAGAACTCCTTGTTGTGGGATCTGTCCTGTTCACTTTAGAACATTTAGCAGCATCCCTGGCTCCTTCCCACTTGATACCAGCAGCAACCCCACCCCCCCAACCCTCCAACTGTGATACTCAGAAATTTCTCCAGTCTTTGCCAGAAGTCAAAACGTCATTGTGCCTGAAGGCTAAATCACCCCATTCTAACTCAATAGTCATCCTTCCTTTCCCACAAAGCAATAAAACCTCAGCTTCAAAACCACCAAATCTTAATGGCAAGAGCTCATGGGAGGTGGAGAAGAATTACTGAGAACAGAAAATACATTGGGTGAATTTTTTAAAATAGCATCCGATTTATATATGTTTTTTTCTCCCAATAGTGGGATCCTGTGAACCTAACATTGGTAACCTGCTTTTTGAATTTCATTAATATATCATAAATGTCTTCCACTTCAGTAAATTTACTGCATAGAGGTTAGGACAGGTTGGGCTCAGAATCCAACAAACCTGGGATCATACCCATTTTCCAGCTGTGTGTCCTTGAGTAGGTGACTTGGCATCTCTGTACCTCATATCACTCACTTATGAAATGGAAACAGGAATGTTGTTGTTCAGTCACTAAGTTGTGTCTGACTCTTTGCGACCCCATGGACTGTATCACGACAGGCTTCCATGTCCTTCACTAGAGATGGAAATAGTAATGCCTATCTCACGAGGTTGTCATGAAGACAAAATCAGATCCTGCCTGTAAGTGCCAAGCACAGTACCTGATGCATACTGAACACTCAATAAATGTTAAAATTTTAGAAAATTAAATGATCATCTACCCATGATTGTCATTTAACTTTTATTTACAACTTAACAATGTGTAGCAACATCTTAAAGACACAGTTAACATATGTAACTTTATTCTGTATTTTCCACGTCTGCTATAGGTGTGTTATCATACTTTCATAATTTTTTAAAAAAATTTTTAAAAAGAAATGGCAAAAGAATAAGACACAGTTAAGGTGCACACTTGCTGCTCCTTTGTGGACTGGTGATTATTGGATAAGCACCAGGACAGGCCTGCTTCCCTTGTGCCTCAGCTGGTAAAAGAATCCGCCTGCAATGAGGGAGACCTGGGTTCGATCGCTGAGTTGGGAAGACCCCCTGGAGAAGGGAAAGGCTACCCACTCCAGTATCCTGGCCTGGAGAATTCCATGGACGTATAGTCCATGGAGTCGCAAAGAGTCAGACAAGACTGAGTGACTTTACACACACCAGGACAGGCAGTGGGTTGTTAAAATACTGAAGTAACTCCCCTGCTGTTTAGCAAATAGCTCCTGCTGGAAACTTCTTCAAGTGCCTCTGTCCCCATCTCTGCCAACCCACCCAATCCCCCAGCCCTCCTGGCCCTCCCTGGGGGTTCTCCCCACTAGGATCTCCAAAGGATCCAGTAGGCAAGAGGGTCTGTTTTGAACTGAGTTAAACCGGTTTGGTCAGACGTGGCCCTTAGGTCCTTTTTGATAAATAATATGAATAGGAACAGGGGAAACAGGAAGAGCTATGAAGATAGCACAGTCCCACAGTTGTGTACGACTCTGTGACCCCGTGGACTGTAGCCCGCCAGGCCTCTCTGTCCATAGAACTTTCCAGGCAAGAATACTGAGTGGGTTGCCATTTCCTGCTCCAGTGTTGATAAATAATAGTAGCCTGTAAAGACATTTGGGGCGGGTGAGGGGAAGCTGCCCCAGCGCCTCCCAGCCTGGGTGTAAGGAGTCTCAGAGCACATTCTGCCCCCACAAAGACTTTGAGTGAATACACCTTCTGCAGCAGAGGGATCCCGTCGTTCAGCCTCGTCTATAGGTTTGATGATGTCCCCCTCCGACCATCACCTCACAGGGTCTCAGAGCATCTGGAGTCACCCCTAGAGACAGTATCAGACGCCAGAGCTTTAAGCCGAGACTGGACACTCGCACCATTAGGGTCAGACTACAGGGCCTGCCCCATGGCACAGGCCAGGCAGTCCCTTCCTCCACTGGACCCTTGGGAGCTGGTTTCTAGCGTTCAGCATGCCAAGTAACAGGCCACGCTGTTACCAGTAAGAACCCATTTCTGACCTTTGGGAGGCACAGCTTCCTCTGGTCTATGGCCTGTCTTATGCAGTGCTGCCTGGCCACACCAGGACTGAGGGCCGCAGACTCGGGATCTGACCACCTCTAGCCTGAAAGTTAAATGACCTGCACGCATATAGCCCCAAGCACACTATGCTGAATATTTAGAAACTGATCTGCAGGCCTGTGACAGTCCTTGATGCATGACAGGGCACAGAATTTGGCTGCACGTTATAGTCAAACCTGTACCAGGTGAGGATTTTTTTTTCAATAGGCTGCGTCCACTGGAGGTTCTAGGATCCACAGACATGTTTAAAAGCTTGGTAGGGTGGGAATCATTGACTCTGAAGTGCATAAATAAAAAATGCAGAAGCCAAATGAATAAATGATGGAATAAATGGCCACAAACGCGTCGGTGCATGCTTCATTCATCATTCATGTTAACACCCATTAAAGTTTCACCGCCTTTGAAAACAATTGGATCAGTTTCTCACTTCACAAGAAGATAAGAATGTGCAGTGACTGCCCAGAAACCAGAGAGTCCGTTGGAAATTTAAAATACACTGCTTGGAGTCAAGTGGTCTCACAGGCAGAATTATGGAAATCTTTACAAAAGTTTCTACCCCCCCAAAAAAAATTTATTCATTCTTGATGTGAATTGTGATATGTCTGATATGATTCAGAGTGAGATCCCCAAACATAATGCCACATCCTCCAAAAGTCATGTAAACAGCCCTTGTAATAATGGGATTAATAAGAAAACAATCAGGAAAGCTTGTATGTCTGTCAAGTGGGTCCTAGTTAATACATCAGGTACAGTTATAGTACCTGATGTATTACAGTTATATATACCTGCTCCACAGGTATAGTGGAGCACAATGCCATCATTAAAAAGAACCTAGGACAGGGACTTCCCTGGTGGTCCAGTGGTTAGGGACCTGCCTCCCAATGCAGCGGATGGGGGTTTGATCCCTGATCAGGGAACTAAGCTCCCACGTGGCGAGGGGCAGTTAAGCCTGCACACCACAACTAGTGAGCCCCTGTGCTCTGGAGCCCACTCACCACAACTGGAGAGAAGCCCGCTCACCCACATGTAAGAACCAACTCAGCCAAAAATAAATAAATATTTTTAAAAAGAACCAAGTACAGCTACAAATGCTGATTTTTTTTAAATTTTTTTTTATTGTTAGGTGAAAAGTAAGCTGGAGAGAAATCTCTGTTATGTAAATCCATTTTTGTTTTTGTTTGTTGGCCGTGGGATCTTAGTTCCCCAACCAGGGATTGAACCTGAGCCCTTGGCAGGGAAAGCAGAGTCCTAACCACTGGACAGCCAGGGAATCCCCCCATTTTTGTTTTTTGTTAAAAATATGACTAGGGACTTGCCTGGTGGTCCAGTGTTAAGGCTTCACCTTCCAATGCAGGGGGTACGGGTTTGATCCCTGATAGGGGAGTTAAGATCCCATATGACTCATGGCCAAAAAACTGAAGCACAAAGCAGAAGCAATATTGTAATGAGTTCAATAAAGACTTAAAAAGGAAAAAAGGTCAACCTCAAAAAAAAAAATCTTAAACAAAAGATGTGACTGCAATTTAAAAAATAGCTGGACTTCCGTGGTGTCATAGTAGATAAGAATCTGCCTGCCAGTGCAGGGGACACGGGTTCAGTCCCTGGTCTGCAGAGATTCCACATGCCATGGAGCCACCAAGCCCATGGGCCACAGCTACTGATCCCACCTGCTGCAACTCCTGAACCTGCGCTCCCTAGAGCCTGTGCTCTGCAACAGGAGAAACCACTGCAATGAGAAGTCCGTGCACCACAACTGGAGAGTAGCTCCCACTCACTGCAGTAGAGAAAAGTCCAATAAATAAATTAAGAAATAAGCAGAGGGCCAGATTTGGCCGTAGGGTCATAGTTCGCCCACCCCTGCTCTACATCATTATTCTATTTACTCTCCGAAGAGCCCTTTATAATAGAGACTATTAGCGTCCCTACATTATATATATAGCTGAGAGAGATTAAATTACCTGCACAGGTCCTCAGCTCTTAGGCAGCATAGAAATAAGTCTGAAAAGGGCTGCGTCAAAGTGCGTCAGCACAGCTAACCCTGGGGAAGAGCAGGAGGCGGCTCTTGCCCTTACCAGCATTGCTGTGATGATGTCATTGCGTGAGTTTCGTGAGTGTGAAGATTAATCTGAAGATATCCTCTAAGCTTTTGGGGAAACTTACAATCTCCTCTGCATTCTCTGTCGCCCATGTGTGTTAGTGTGGACCAACGCCGTGAATCTGTCAGAGCAAGCAGTGGCCGAGGAAATTCCCGGAACAGGATCCGCCAGGGAGATGTTTGTGGATCATGACTTGGCCCAGCAGGAGAAGGTGAGGGATCTCAGGGAGGGCTGCGCTACAGCAGCAAGAGGGACCCACGGAGGGATTGCCACTGCCTCTTGCTCTTTGTGGCCTTTTTTTTCTTTTTTCTTTTTTTTTTTAACTACTTCCAAGAAATCACCTCTTGCTCCCAAGACATTAAGCCAAAAGTTCGGTTACTGCTCATTTTATCCCAAATAGCATCTACCACTGAGCACCTCCGGTGTGCTGGGCCATGTCCTATGCACTTCACATTTTCTTGACTTGTTAATCCTTATCATCTTCAGGATAGATTTTATCTCCCTCACTTGGCTGATGAGGAAACTGAAGCTCAGAGAGGTTAAGTAACTTGTTTAAGGTTGCCCAGGGTAAGGAGCAGTGTTAGGATTCAAACCTAGGTCTTTATAACTTCCCAGCGGGTACTTCTAACACACACACATAGTAATCACTCGGTCAGCTTCGAGTGATGGAACAGTGATGATGGGTAAATACATTTCTGGCAGGAGGAAGTGAACACTGAAGTCAGGGAGACCCAAGCAAAGAAAGAAACTCATTAAAGAATTAGGGAGGTTCAAAGAAGGACAAGAGGTGAATTCACACCATCCTGGGAAGGACCCAGGTCGATTTCTCCCCTCTTAGCCATGACCTGAAAGTAATTCTAAAAGAAGCAGTCTGCAATATCTCGCTTTCCTCAAAGGCCAGGGCCTGGGCCTGCAGCAATTCTCAGAGTCTCTGAGGAGCAGAACCACCTGGGGTCTTTGTCAGACATGGAATCCAAACTTCAGGAGGTAGGGGGTTCCGACAAAGGTGTCCTGAGACAAGACTCTAAGAATTGTTGGTGGGAGGTGAGAAGCCAGGCTCGGATTCTGTATTTCTTGCTGTGTAACAAGCCTCCCCGAAAGCGTAGGGGCTTAAAACAGCAACTCATTATTCCCCAGAATCTCCAGATTGATCTGGAAGTTTCCTTTGCTCCTGTCCCCTGACCTCACTCACTAGACTGCAGTCAGCCCATGACCTGGCCTGGCTGGTAGTCTCTCTGATGGCCCCCTTCCCAGGACTGGAGCCTCAGCCAGGATGCCTGGACTGGTGCCCCCTTTTCTGCTTGTGGTTTTTCATCATAGCACAGTGTTATCAGGGTTCCCAGGGGGCTGGAACACAAGCTTACAGCCTGTAAGAACTTGCCTGGGCATCATGCAGCCACACTTCCACTACCTTCTGCTGGTTAAAGAAGTCCCAGAGCCAGCCTAGACTTAGAGAGCGGGGAAATAGGCTAGATGGCAAAGCTGCAAAGTGTTTGTAGCTGTTTTTCAACCTGCCTCCATTTTTAAATTGGAAATATAGTGCAACCACAGTTATAATTTTTTTCTATTTATAAGCCATTTATGCCCTGACTTGCCAGGACTCCTTCAGGTGACAATAAAGAAATTAGCTTGGTGGAGAGGGAAGCATTTATTGGCTCCTCCTATTGGAATATTTAAAGGATCTCTAGTTTCAGGTATGGCTAGATCCAGGAGCTTGAATCTTGTCATCAGAACACTTCCTACCACCAATCTCTCCCCTCTATTTCCCTCAAAGTCTGGCTTTCTGCATAATGCCAGTTTTGTGTGTTGGAAAAGGCAAACTCAGGCAAACAAGCCTCTAAAGGTAAGGTCTGTGGTCCAAAAGGAGGCAAGAGATCCTCACCCTCTGTAACTGATGTGTGAAATCTTTGAGAAAACTGATTGACCAGCTTGGGTCACATGCACCAGACTCCCTCCAGGAAGGGCATTGGGGGCTGAGGGGTGGCACTCACCAGGAAGACAGAACCCACAGCAGTCCATCGCCCTCTGTAAACTTATATTTCAGCACCAACACAGGGCCTGGTATATAGTGGCTGCCCAATGAGTGTTTATTGCATTAAAAATAAATAAGCTCCTGGCTGATCATAACAGGATGAAAGAGGGGGAAACTGCCCAGGAGCAGGGAATCTGTTTGGTGCACTCTCTTGAAATTTTGCCACCAGCATTTACAAGGACCCAAAAGAAGACCCTTGGCAGCAGCTGGCAATGTCAGACAAGCTTCCTCCTGACTAAGATCCTGTCCTTCCCCAGGTCATAGAGCTGGAAGGTCTTGAGGCCAACTGGGCAAGCTCCCGTGGGAATGAGCCAGCCTGGAAATTGCCCGTTTACCTCTTTTTGTGTCTGCCTTTGAAAAGGTATCTGGCGAATTCTTTTTTTTTTTCAGTTTTCTTGACATTTTGTTGATAACTGCTGTTGAAAAGCTTGGGGGATTTTTTTTTTTTTTCCACTTTTGGAAAACCTAACAAATTCTTTTGTTAGAACTTTTTCTTTGGAGAGATGGAAGACAGGGTTAATTATACCTGTGGGTGAAGTCTGCCAGCGATGTTGTTTTTCCAGCCCAAAGTTTACACCAGCCCGAACAAATAATCAGCATTCCCGTCTCGTTTACTTCCCAGATTCAGTGACCTGGAAAAAAAAATTCTTATAGGAATTGCCAGAGAGGCAGGAAGTACTAGAAGAGAGGAAAGGGAAAATAAATATTTCAGAATGTATTAAATGTTTTAAGTTTAAAAAAAAATAGCCCTCGTTATACGTAGAATGTGATTGAATAGAATGTTGTTTTCCTAGTTACCTTTCCTCGGTCCCCAGTGTGCTAGGCTGAATATTGTAAATAAAAAATTATAAACTTTCCAGCAACAGAAGTTCCCAAATGGGATGGTTATTCTTAACATGAAAGGATAATTCTCAGGGAAAGGAAAGTTTCAGTACCTGTGAGCTATAGACATCCATTCATGTGTGTGCAGGCTAAGTCGCTTCAGTCGTGTCTGACTCTTTGCAACCCCATGGACTGTAGCTCACCAGGCTCCTCTGTCTATGGAATTCTCCAGGCAAGAATACTTGAGTGGGTTGCCATTCCCTCCTCCAGGGGATCTTCCCAACCTAGGGGTCAAATCCACATCTCTTACATCTCCTGCATTGGCAGGCAAGTACTTTACCACTAGCACCACCTGAGAAGCCCAGACATCCATGACAGATACCTATAGACAAGTACATCATTTCAACCAAATTCTTGATTCTATGAGGTTTTCTCAAATGACAGAGATAGCCTTGAGAATCTGCCTTGTCCTTCCCTGCCTGCCCTCACCTTCCCAGAGAATGATACCGTATTTTTCCTATCTTTTTTTTCAATGGGCCCAGCCTTACACCCAGACCCACACCCACTAAACTTCCCATCTGGCCTCCATCCAGGATGAAATAATTCTGCTGCTGGGAAAAGAAGTCAGCCGTCTCTCGGATTTCGAACTCGAATCCAAATACAAAGATGCCATGATCGTGAACCTTCAGAACGAAGTGGCCCACCTGAGCCAGAAGCTGTCGGAAACAGCCGCCTCCAGGCAGAGTGAGAGGGTGGTCCCGTCCAAGCTCCAGGTTCTGGAGGAAGACGATGATGCCCAACAGAGAGAAATTCAGAATTTAAAAAGCCAGGTAGAGGGGAGGAGGGGCGTGGGACGGATTAGCAGGCTGGGATTGGCATACACACACTCTTAATTGTCCTCGTTTAGTTGCTAAGTCATGTCCGATTCTTATGCGACCGCATGAACAGTAGCCCACCAGGCTCCTCTGTCCATGAGATTTCCCAGGCAAGAATACTGGGGTGGGTTGCCATTTCCTTCTCCAGGGGCATCTTCCCAACCCAGGGATCGGAACTGCAGCTCCTGCCTTGGCAGGCGGATTCTTTACCACTGAGTCACCAGGAAAGCCCCACACTCTTAATACTACGTATAAAACAGATGACTCATGAGAACCTACTGCATTGCACAGGGAACCCTGCTCAATGCTCTGTGGTGAGATAAATGGGAAGGAAGTCGGAAAAAGAAGGGATATGTGTATATATGTAACTGATTCACTTCTTTTAAACTGATTCACTGTACAGCAGAAACTGACACAACATTCTAAAGCAGCTATACTTTAATGACAGTTAATTTAAAAGACAAGGGGTCAGAGCCTTAGGGTGGTGACTCAGGGATGGCTCTCAGGTGGAGTCCCAGGGAGCACCAAGGGTATCCACCCGGATAGTTGGAAATGGGCAGTCAGCACAGATGGTGGGGAAGAGCACAGATCCAGGGAGGAGAGACGTGGCAGGTTCCTAGCCTGCTAAAAACAATATTATTAATACCTTTGATTAAGTGCCTTCTTCAGTCGTGTCTGACTCTGTGCAACCCTATGGACTGTAGCCTGCCAGGCTCCTCTGTCCATGGGATTCTTCAGGCAAGGATACCGGAGTGGGTTGCCATGCCCTCCTCCAGGAGATCTTCCTGACCCAGGGATCGATCCCTGGTCTCTTACATCTCCTGCCTTGGCAGGCAGGTTCTTCACCACTAGCACCACCTGGGAAGCCCCTAACTACACGTACGATTCTACAGATGAGGAGACTGAGGCAGGCTTGGAGATACCTAGGAACTTGTTACAGCTTGCACAGCAAATGAGAGGTGGCTGTGTGACTTGAGCTCCCCTCTGCCACTTTGCATTTCCACCCAGCTCTATGGCTTTAGTGACCACCTCTCATGCTCACCTGGCCCCATCCAGAAAGGACTGGAGATGGGGAGAAGGAACCTCCCAGTGTTCCAAACACCAAGGCCTTTCTCAAACCCTGAAGGCAGCTGCTGCTTCATTTATGGAGAATTTCACCCAAAACTCTCCATGTAGGATGCCTGGATTTATGATCAAGGTCCTTTCTTTTGAAACTAGATCCAGAAAAAAAAAAAAATTTTTTTTTTAAGTAATGACTTTAAAATCAGCCATTGATCTTGTACATAAATTATATCTCAACATATGTGAAAGTAGCTCAGTTGTGTCTGACTCTTTGCAACCCCACAGACTATATACCTCGTGGAACTCTCCTGGCCAGAATACTGGAGTGAGTAGCCATTCTCTTCTTCGGGGGATCTTCCCAACCCAGGAATCAAACTAGGGTCTCCTGCATTGCAGGTGGATTCTTTACCAGCTGAGCCACCAGGGACGCCCATATCTCAACATAGTTGATAAAAGAAAGGAATTAGCCATTGATGAATTTTGGCCTCAGTGCATAAATCTGCTTAAAACCATAGCCACGTCTGGGGCCTCGGTTCCCTGATTCTTTGTTTATTGCCTTCCCCTTCTGTCACGGATTCTAGGTGCACAATTTCAGTCCTAGAAACGGTGCCCTAGAAAGGACACGGGTTGTATGGGGAACCTAGGAGATTCTTTCAGGAGACTGTCAGCTCCATGAAGGCAAACGTTGGTCCTAGTAATCTTCCAAAACTCTGATGGGTCTGTGTCTGTTTGTTCTTTATCCATCCATCTGTTCATTCAGATCAGTATTTGCTGGGGCCAACCCTGGGTCATGCTGTCTTCCAGGTTCTGTGAATTCACCACAAATAAGGAAGACATGATCCCTCCCCCTGTTTTGTTCTAATGAGCGGGACAGAATAAACCAGGAAACAGGATATATGTTCTAGTATTTCAATGAAGCGGTGACTCTTTTGAACCTACTTTTGAAAAAACCACTGGAAGCGGCAAGTCCTGCAGGAACCCCTACTGCAAACAGCTGCCTTGACGTGTAACTGACTCCCTGAGGAGCATCTTCTCTTGAGCTGAACCCAGTTTTGCTGAAATATCCTTTTCAGTTATCCTCCCATTCCAGAGCTTTCCTGAGCTAATGTCACAGGTACATGGACAAGGCTGAATTATTCTCATATATCTTTTTTTTTCTTCAGTTGAAACATATTTGACACATAGTATTATAGAATTGCCACATATCTTTGAATATCAGCCAGTCACAATTTGAGTATTATTTAAAGTGGCTGATGATATCTGGGGGAAAAAAATTTTTTTTTTACAAAGGAATTGTCTAGAAATAATTACACTGATTCATCATCCTGTTACCTCCTCCACCTCTGGAGCTTTACTTATAACTGAAGGAGAATATTTTGTAACAAGACATCTATGAACCAGAGGCTGCCCTGGTTTGAACTCAAATCGAGTTCCATCCAGTCATGTTTTAGCTTCTTCAATATTCTACTGCCGGCAGCACATTCAGCCAGAAGCAGAAGCCGCATGGCTGGTTGATTTATTGTTCTGATTACTGTATGCATTCTCCTTGGTCCCTGAAAGCATGTACATAATGACTTGCTCTCAAAGATCTTCGATCCCCTAGAAATATCACTAGAACATTCTTACCTGCATGTGTTCTTATATGCCTGTGCTAATTAGAAACCAAATTAGTATCTTGAAACAGTCACTCCTCCTAGCACTATTAATTTTCTTATGATTCTGGGCCCATTTTATTACATAGCATAACAGACATTAAGCATCTTGGAGTTTATGCCAGTTACAGACAACATGGATATTTATTTTGGTAGTAAAAGTAACAAAGAGGTTTGAAACACTCTTTTTTTTTTTTTGGCTCAGCTAGGTCTTTGTTTTGCATGCAGGCTTTCTCTAGTTGTGGTGCACAGGGTCTTAGTTCCTCGACCAGGGATCAAACCCACATCCCCTACATTGGAACTTGAACTCTCAACCACTGGACCACCAGGGAAGTCCCTTGAAGACTCTTTTGAGTTTTTCAGCAATCCAAAATCCTAAAACTCTTGACACTTAGAATGAAATATTTTAAATCTGTCAAAAACACTGGAGTCTTTAGAGGGGAACGTATGTTTTCCCTTCTGGAAGTTTGCCTCTGTGTGTTCTTCCTTATGCAAATGAACCCATTAAGCTGAGAAGAGCTAGAAACAGTTTGCTTGAGTGTTCCAAGTACCTTTTATGGGAAAGTTGTATTCCACCACCACCACCACCACCACCCACCCTCTTTCATCTCTTCAGTAAGAGATGAAAGAATTTTTTTCACTCAAAGTCTAAAGCACAAACATGCAAAAGTATAGCCTTGGGGAGGCTGGTGGGCAGAGTGGCCTGTGTCCCTCACCACCACCACCCATAGAAGGTGGTCATGTATAGATGTGAGACTTGGACCATAAAGAAAGTGAGCACTGGAGAATTGATGCTTTAGAAACATGGTTTGGAGAAGACTCTTGAGAGTCCCTTGGACAGCAAGGGATCTCCATCCAACCAGTCAATCCTAAAGGAAATCAACCCTGAATATTCATTGGAAGGACTGATGCTAAAGCTGAAGCTCCAGTACTCTGGTCACCTGATGCAAAGAGCTAACTCATTGGAAAAGACCCTGATGCTAGGAAAGATTGAAGGCCAAAGGAGAATGGGGCAACAGAGGATGAAATGGTTAGATAGCATCACTGACCTGATGGACATGAATTTGAGAAAACTCCAGGAGATGGTGGAGGACAGAGAGTCTGGCATGCTGCAGTCCATGGGATTGCAAAGAGCTGGACACGACTGAGCAACTGAACTACAATAGCCTTGGAGAGGTTGGATGCCAGAGTGGCCTGTGCCCCCGCCCCACCCACCTTCTAGCATAGACCTGTCTCAATAATGTCTCAGATGCCCCAGGGGAAAAGTATCTGTAACCCCCGTAAATGTCATAGACTCTCAACTATGATGGTGCATGAAACGAGAGAGAAAACTTGTGAGACCTTGACACTTCCATTAATTCTGAGTAAGAATGACAAGATTTTCAGGCACAGAAACCAGGACCAAAGGCTGTGAGCGCCATCTGGTGGCAAGGTCTCCACACTGTTGCCCAAATACCTGGGAATGCCCGCCCCTTCCCCCCAATCTTTTTTTTTTTTTAAATGGGGAGCCTGCAGCCTGGTCTGACAGTAAACAAGGAAATTCTTATATTTTATCTTCTTTTAAGAGTATTTTTATTTACGATATTGTGTCTCAGTTTACTCTTATAGCAGTTATTTTTAATTTAATACATGTTTTTAAGTTTAAAAAGCAAGGGGCTTCTAAGAAAAATGCTAAGAAATTATAGTGGGACCAGGAAAGAGATATGGCAAAAATAGTGAAAGTGGTATTTGAATGACTGAAGTTTAAGAGCTCTCTTAGGGTGGGGTTGCCAGATAAAATAAGGACACCCAATTAAATTTGAATATTAGAATGTCTTCTTTAGCATATGTTCCACATACTGCACAGGACACACACGAAAATGTTATCTGTCATCTTATTTTAAGTGGGCATCCTTTTTTTCTCCCCCAAATCTGGCAACCTTACCTTAGGAAAACAAAGAAATTATGTCCTGCTCCTTATTGCTTCTATTTTGATCTATCAAAACAAGCTAGCCCTCATCCTGTCTAGGGACTATGTGGCATTTCTGCCCCAATAAACATGTCCCTGTGGGAGAACTGGGTCCTGATGTCTGAAAAATCAAAGCGGCAAAGGCCCACAGCGCACCCTGGGAGGCAAAAGCCTTGGCCACTCAGACCAAGCAGTCAGGAGTCAGAGGAAGAGGGAGGGTGTTCTGGCCCACCTCCCTTCCCCAGCCTCTCGGGTACCTGCTCTGTGGAGGCCGAGATGCGGCAGCTACTCTCCAGCCCTTACCAGGGCTGCTTTCCGAGGAGACCCTTCCAGGGCCCCTGCCCTGCGTGTGGATCCCCGGAGAGGGGCTGGCCCTCAAGTGGGTTCTGAGCCAGGGACTTCCAGAGTTCTCGCAGCAGCCAGCCCATGGTCATCCCACCCATGACTCCTGTATTTCCTCCTAATAATAACCACAGCAGTGTTACAGTGAGCCTGAGCAAGACTTACAAATGCACACAAAAAGATTCCCAACTCCTTTCCCCAGAGACAGACAAGGGAAGCTGAAGCTGAAACACGCCATGGGTAGTCAGCTGAGAGGACCATGACACCTCATCCCTCTATGCTGTGTGCCAGGCATGATCTGAGTACTTGCACACATGACTAATTTGTTAAGATACTTCTAACAGGGATTTCCTGGTGGTCCAGTGGTTAAGACTCCGAGCTGCTGAAGCAGAGGGCATGGGTTTGATCCCTGGTTGGGGAATGAAGATCCGACATGCTGAAAAGCAGGGCGTAGGGAAAAACAATACTTCTAACAATCCTATCAGTCTGGGACTACCATCACCCCATGTACAAACTGAAGATAGAATATGGTGTATTCCTGTGTTCACACGGCCCATAACAGGCAGAAACAGAATTTGCAGCCTACAGTCTGGCTCCCAAGTCCACTCTGTCCTTTACAGCCTCCAGCTTTTCATGCTGCTTCCTAGGGCCACCTGGAAAGGTGGAAATGGGCCGCTAGAGGCTGGGTTTGAATCCTGCTCCACCTCTGACCAGCCCCGTGATACTGAGCGGGGGACTTTACCTCTCCAAGCCTCAGTCTGCTCCCTTGCAAGTGGGAAGACTGATGGGAACAGCAACCTTCAGCAATGCTATGAGGAGTATCCATGTAGCATGTGCAAACGAGTTTTGTAAACTCTGGAGTGTTGTATGAGGTATAAGCTATTTGCTGTTCTCATTAAAGGAAATTCATTGTATAACTTGTTCCCATCTTTTGGGGGCTTCCCAGGTGGTGCAGTGGTAGAGAGTCTGCCTGCTAATGCACAGGACACAGGAGACATGAGTTTGATCCCTGAGTTGGGAAGAACCCCTGGAATAGGAAATGGCAACCCACTCCAGTGTTCTTTCCTGGGAAATCCAGTGGACAGAGGAGCCCGGTGAGCTACAGTCCCTGGGGTTACAGAAGAGTCGGATGTGACTGAGCACGCACAACACCCTCCTGTTTCCTGAATTTTGCTCTGCATACAGTCAGTGCTGGATGATTCGGCACCAACTGCTAGCCTGTTTATGGCTAAAAGTCTACAGATGGTGATCTCGGGGAGGTAACAGTGAGCGGTGGCTTGAAGCAAGATCTTAGTTCCCTGCCCAGGAACTGAACCTGGTAGCCAAGGTAAAAACCAGGACTCCTAGCCACTGGACCATCAACAGCTAGAGGCTAGAAGCAAATCTTCCCTGGCTCTTGCTCCCATTGAAAAATGCATTTCTTGCAAATCAAAACCACAATGAGGTACCATTACACACCAGTCAGGATGGCTGCTATCCAAAAGTCTACAAGCAATAAATGCTGGAGAGGGTGTGGAGAAAAGGGAACCCTCTTACACTGTTGGTGGGAATGCAAATTAGTACAGCCACTATGGAAAACAGTGAGGAGATTTCTTAAAAAGCTGGAAATAGAACTGCCATATGACCCAGCAATCCCACTTCTGGGCATACACACCGAGGAAACCAGATCTGAAAGAGACACGTGTACCCCAATGTTCATCGCAGCACTGTTTATAATAGCCAGGACATGGAAGCAACCTAGATGCCCATCAGCAGACGAATGGATGAGGAAGCTGTGGTACATATACACCATGGAATATTACTCAGCCATTAAAAAGAATTCATTTGAATCAGTTCTAATGAGATGGATGAAACTGGAGCCCATTATACAGAGCGAAGTAAGCCAGAAAGATAAAGACCATTACAGTATACTAACACATACATATGGAATTTAGAAAGATGGTAACGATAACCCTATGTGCAAAACAGAAAAAGAGACTCCAATGTAGAGAACAGACTTGTGGACTCTGGGAGAAGGCGAGGGTGGGATGTTTCAAGAGAACAGCATCGAAACACGTATATTATCTAGGGTGAAACAGATCACCAGCCCAGGTTGGGTGCATGAGACAAGTGCTCGGGCCTGGTGCACTGGGAAGACCCAGAGGGATCGGGTGGAGAGGGAGGTGGGAGGGAGGACCGGGATGGGGAATACATGTAAATCCATGGCTAATTCATTTCAATGTATGACAAAAACCACTGCAATGATGTAAAGTAATTAGCCTCCAACTAATAAAAATAAATGAAAAAAAAAATGATTGGTATGGGCATCATACTCACTAGTGTAAATAACGAAGCGTTGATACTAAAAAAAAAAAAAAGAAAAGAAAAATGCATTTCTTGTGTAGGCAAAAACTATTAAAAAAAAAAAACAAAAAACAGGTACAAAGTTTATTGTTACGGACACAGCACAACTGGAAGAGCACACAGAGAAACAGTTTGTTTAGTTAAGACAGAGATGCACACTCGGAGAGAAGGCGTGGGCATCCCTTCAGTGAGGAGGAGCCCAGGACAGAGGTGGTTACATCATGTATATAGGGCAATTCTTTCAAGTCTTTGTTGTTGTTGTTGTTGTTCAGTGGCTCGGTCTTGTGGAGCTTGTTCAAACTCAGGTCCATCGAGTCGGTGATGCCATCCAACCGTCTCGTCCTCTGTCGTCCCCTTCTCCTCCTGCCGTCAATCTTTCCCAGTATCAGGGTCTTCTCCAGTGAGTCGGCTCTTTGCATTAGGTGGCCACCCATCTGGTGGGTCTTTGTTTACCTCTGCCAATTATCTAGTTTCTTTTTCCACACCAGACCTACCCTAGGATCCTCCCCAACATGTGTGCACAGCTTTTTCCCAAGATAGATTCCAGCCCAGCAGCCAGTGAGGGATGGGGCTTGACATCACATATTATGGGATGGTAACCCCTCCTTTGTTATCCCCAAGGAGCCTTTCTGCACATGTGCAGTGACTCCCTTGCCCCAAGGATGGGAAATATGTGACCTCTTGGTCTTGTACTCAAACAAGGTTTTGCCCCTGTCTGTCCCTGACACAACTGATATGTCCACAGGAGACAAAGTCCAGCCATTTACCCTGTTCCTGTCATTAAGTGCAAACAGGAGGCTGGTTATAAATGACTAACCTGGAGCCCACCTCCCTCCTGTCTTGGGAACTGTAAACAGAAGGCTGGTTGTAAGTATCCAGCCTGAAGCCCATCCGCCTCCTGCCTCAGTCACAGGAAGGGATCCAGGGCAGGGGTCCCTGAGATCCTGGGTGACCACAGAGGTAAGGTTTGTGTCTTGATGATGCAGGGCACGGTGGTCACTGAAGGAATAGGCACCCTCCCATCTCTCCCACCAGTTATAACTGGGAAGCTTGGTTTCCCCAACACCCCGACCCAAGATCAACCTGACTCTTTTTGTCCAGCCTCGGGAGAAGTACCGGCGTGTCCTGCAAAGCCGGCTGGCCCCCCTCTGACTGTGTGTTGCCTCTTCCCACAGATCAGTGCCCTGCAGCAAGGCTACAGCCAGGTGCTGTGCCAAACCCTGTCTGAGAGGAACTTGGAAATCATGTCCCTGAAGAACCAGGGTGAGAACTTAAGGAGGGATAACGCCATCACATCAGGTGAGGTCCTTCTGGATTAGCTCCTGAGAACTGCCTCTCTCCCCCTGCAGACATCACCAATCTATCACTGCACTTGCCTCTCTCCCCCTGCAGACATCACCAATCTATCACTGCACCTGCCTCCATCCCCCTGCAGACATCACCAATCTATCACTGCACCTGCCTCCATCCCCCTGCAGACATCACCAATCTACCACAGCACCTGTGCCCATGACCTGGGTGCAGCCTCAGGGATCTCAGCAACCCACCTGGCCACCAGTGTCAGCAAGTTAGAATTCTCCCTCAGTGAAGATTTCTTGCCACCCTCTTCCTAGGGCAGGGCCTGATAAATACTGGAGAGAATGTTGTGTCTTGACCAGGCTTCCCGGGTGGCTGGCTCAGTGCTAAAGAATCCATCTGCCAGTACAGGAGATGTAGGAGACCCAGGTTCAGTCTCTTTTCTGGGAAGATCCTCTGGAGAAGGAAATGGCAACTGCTCAAGTATTTTTGCCTGGACAATTCCTTGGGCAGAGGAGCCTGGCAGGCTACAGTCCATGGGGGTCACAAAGAATTGGACACAACCGAGCGACTGAGCACACACACATGTATATTTTGTCTCTGAGGTCTCCTGAGCACCGGCCCCATCAGGGAGAACATAGAACAGGGTGACTTGGACGGCTCCACAAGCCAGCCTGCTTAAGGGAAACTAGAACATGGACAAAATGGGGTTACCACTTTGGGTACCCATCATCTCACCGATTTCACCCAAGTGCACTTGGGCCCAAGTGAAACATTTTCTAATTGACCAACAGAGGTGGTTCCTTGATAAGGGGCTTGGATGGGGGGCGGGGCAGCCCACACATAGCTGTGGCTGAGCCTGGACTCCCTGGATTCCTTCATTCCTTCAGCATGCTGACTGAGCACCTCCTAGGGTGCTCAGGTTCTTGACGTCTTGTCACAGAGAGAATTCAGTGAGAGACAAAGTGATAGGTAAGAAGTGGATTTGTTTAGCGAGAAACACACTCCACAGGCAGAGAGTATGGGCCATCTCAGAAGGTGAGAAGCCCTGAAATATGAGGTGGTTGATGATTATGGGCCGGGTAATTTCATAGGCTGATGAATGGGAGGATTATTACAAGTATTTCGGGGAAGGGGCAGTGATTTCCAGAAACTGGGCCACTGCCCACTTTTTGACCTTCTATGACTGACCTCAGAACTGTGCTGGTACTGGTGGGTGTGTTGTTGTTGTCAGTCACCAAGTTGTATCCAACTCTTCAAAACCCCGTGGACTGCAGCACGCCAGGCTTCCCTGTCCTTCACCATCTCCTGGAGTATGCCCGAGTTCGTGTCCATCGAATCGGTGATACCATCCAACCACCTCATCCTCTGTTACTGGTGGGTGTGTCACTCAGCTATTGCATTGCAATGAGCATATAGTGAGGCTCCAAGTCCACTGGAAGTCGGATCTTCCACCGGCTTGGACCTAGTTGATTCTAACCAGCTTATGTCACATCCTCAAGGGCTCTGTCATTCTTTTAGAGATTGTGCTCTTCCCTCTTCCCTCCTGTTTCAGATGGGCAACGACAAACCAAGAACAAGTGAGGCTGTGCGGACTGAGGCTGGATGGGGTCAAGGGGTCTGGGTTTTATACTAAGGGTGATGGGAAGTCGGGTTTTTAATGCAGAAAATGACCTGAAGAGGACCACTCACAGAAAGAGGGGAGGGAGAGGAGCAGGTGACAGGGAGGAGGCAATGAGCCTGGGAGTCACTCCCAAAGTCCCCGGCATGTAGCAGGAAACATGCCCACAGCTGTAAAAGCCAAATACATTATCGAGTCACGTATGAATCACTCTCCATATATGAATTTATGCTTTTCCCCAGCCTCACTGTGCAACTTACCACTCTCACTTCCACCCCCTCCCAGCCCCAGGTCCCTGCTTACGCTCCTCCTTAACTTGGAATGTCCTCAGATACTTGCTGAGCACCTCCTCCAGGTTTGGTATGGTCTGGGAACCAGGAATGTAAGGATGAACTCACTGGTCCTTGCCCTCTCTCCATATGTCTGCCAACCAAACCTCATGCAAGCATCACAGCCTGTCCTGGATCCCACTTTCTCCAGTCAGGGAGTCAGACAGACCTGGGTTGGGACAACGCTTGGGATGAGCTGAACTCACACCAAGTGTGGAAGCCCCAGAGGGATTTCCAAGTAACTTAACTGTGTCCTATGGGCAAAGCACATTTTAAAAATGAAATTCTGGATCATTTCATTTTTTATTTCATATTTGTTGCTGTTGTTTAGTCACTAAGTCATGTCCCACTGTTTGTGATCCCATGGACTGCAGCACGCCATGCCTCACTATCTCCTGGAGATTGCCCAAGTTCATGTCCATTGAGTCAGTGATGCCATCCAACCATCTTATCCTCTGCTGCCCCCTTCTTTTGCCTTTAATCTTTCCCAGCATTAGGGTCTTTTCCTAATGAGTTGGCTGTTTGCGTAAGGCGGCCAAGTTCAGTTTAGTTCAGTTCAGCCACTCACGTGTGTCCGACTCTTTGCAACCCCGTGGACTGCAGCACACCAGGCCTCCCTGGCCGAAGTATTGTATAAATATTTTTGATCGTGCCTCATGGCATGCAAGATCTTAGTTCCCTGACCAGGGATGAAATCTCTGCTTCCTGCATTGGAAGCATGGAGCCTTAACCAGTGGACCGCCAGGGAATTCCTCATATACCTGCTTGACTGACACCTAGCAATAAAATTAGGCCTGATGTTCTTCCAAGAAAGAACTGTATGAGATAACCCAGTACCACTGTATTTAGGCACCTTTCTTCCCACTTTGGGCTTCCGTGGTGGCTCAGCTGGTAAAGAATCCGCCTGCAATGCAGGAGACCTGGGTTCAATCCCTGGGTTGAGAAGGTCCCCTGGAGAAGAGAACGGCTACACACTCCAGTATTCTGGCCTGGAGAATTCCATGAACTATACAGTCCACGGGGTCACAAAGAGTCGGACACGACTGAGCAACTTTTCACTTTCACTTCCCACTTTTCTCCAAAGTGATAATTCAATAACGGAGTAGTTATCTATTGCTATATAGCAAGTTATCCCAAAATGTAATGGATAAAACAACAGCTGATATTTATTATCTCACCCAGTTTCTACAGTACAGGAATTTGGGATGGGGAGGTGTGTAACTTAATTCTCTTGAATTGCAGTCAAGATGTCAGCCGGGGCATCAGTCATGATATCGAAAGCCTTACTGGAAGCAGGAGGAACCCCTTTCAGAGTCGCTGCCCATGTGGCTGTTGGCTGGAGGCCTCAGCCGCTCATTCTTATCCTGAGGGCTGCTTGAGTGTCTTCACAACACGGGGGGTGGCTTCCCCCAGAGTGAGTGATGCAAGAGAGCAAAGAGGAAGCCGCAGTGTCTTTTATGACCCAGCCTGGGAGGTAGCATTGCATCATTTCCACAGCATCACGTGGGTTACCCATGTCAGCCCTATTCAGGGTGGGAGGGGCCACACAAGGGCATGAATTCCAGGAGGCAGGGATCATGGGGGCCATGTTGGAAACTGGCTATTGTGAAAAATAGTGAGTGCCATGTAGGGAGATGACAGAGGATGACATGGTTGGTTGGCATCACCGACTCAATGGCCATGAGTTTGAGCAATCTCCAGGAGATGGTGGAGGTCAGAGAAGCCTGGCATGCTGCAGTCCATGGGGTCGCAAAGAGTCAAGACACGATTTGGCGACTGAACAACAACAACAAATATAAGTTAGTCACTTTATGTTCTTAGGACAGACCATCTCACTTGACCCTTACAATAACTCTGTGCAGGACATGCAGTGGGAGGTGAAATAACTTTTCCAAGACCACCAAGCTAATAAGGGGTAAGGACAGGGCCAAACTCATGTAAGCGTGAAGCTAGCCGCCCCACAAGAGTGTCCAGCAGTCCACTCTGCTGCAAGTCTGCCTCCTGGGCTCTGGAGAAGAATTCCTGGACTTCACCTGTGCTGGGCCTTTGTTCCCCAAGCCCTGGGCCTGGCCTCTCCTCTCGGCTCTGCCCAGCCTTGCCCACCAGGGGCCCCCAAAGGCTTCTCCTCCCACTGGTGCTCACTGACTGCGCCTCATTCTCCCTGAAGCCTCAAACCACATTCCATGGTCTCTGGTCTCATTCCTGTTCTTGCTCTGGGATTCTTGGCAACAACCTCTGCAGTTCTAGGAATGCTGGCCCTGGGCTTGGAGGTTCTTGTCCGAAACTTGGCTAACAGTCGTGGTGATGCCCGGAATCCTTCCTGCCCTTTTCACCTGTGAGTTTTTGTTTTTGTTTTACAGAGATGGTGTCATCTTTGCAAAAGGATATGTTAGCAAAGGATGAGCAAGTTCAACAACTACAACAGGAGGTGAATCAACTAAAAAGTGAGAACAAAGAAAAGGATCACCAGCTCGAAGCCCTCAGCTCCAGAGTGAGTGTCGGGTCATCACAAAGTGTAGCTTCAAAAAGCAGACACAGTACAGTCACGTGTCTGCAGTGAAGTCAACTTCTCTGCAGCTTTTAAAGTACAGTATGTGGCTCAGAATAAGCATGATATATATTCAAATGCAGCAAACATTTTCTAACCCCTATGATAAATAAACCCCAGGAACAAACACACTTATTAGCATATATTGCTACTGCACAGCTTAATGTAAAACAGAGTAAAATCTTTCTGTGAGCAGGGACAACCCACAGGGCTCCGTGATGGAACACCAGCACCACTGGTTCTCATAACTGCCTTCAAATCAGAACATTTGAAGATCCAGATGCAAACACACAAACTCTCATTTCTTCCCTAGACTTGGTAGGCGAGTGAAGAGTTTTTTAAATGGAACTTTATTTGCAAATCTTGCCTTCCATGCCAACTTTAGAATCCTGACTCTCTAGGATAAGATTTCTCAGTATTTGTATGGTGCATCTGTTTCTGCCAGTCAAGGTAAAACCTCATAGCTTTCATCTCAGGTCGTAACTCAGAGATTCCCAGAACCTGTCCAATGGGTTAGCCAGGGCTGCACAGGTGTGGGGTGGAAACATCCTGAGGTTCCAAGGAAAAGGCACAATACGTAGTACCTGGTGCTTAGTACTGTACCGAATATGGAACTGGCAAAAGGCATGAGCTTTGGGGTCAGAAAGACCTGGGTCCAATCCCAGAGCTTTCTCTTACTGTAACTTATTTGGCCTTTATTTCCCCATCTGCGAAATGGGAATGACAAAATCATCTTCCGAGACACGGGAGCCTGGTTTCAGCAGCGCTCCTCTGCCTCTGCCTCTGTCTTTGTTTCTGCCACGCAGAGTGCCCTCCTAGGCATGTGCACTCGCTGTTCGAGGTGAGAGGACTGCGCGCGTGTGTGTGTTGGGGACGGGGAGGTTGCAGAGCTGGCGCTTAGCAGAGGGATATGCACAGACAGCCTCTGCTTGGCTCTTCCACCTCCCACAGTGCGTTTGTTTGACTATGTCCCTCTTTCCCCTTCTTTATTGACCTTGGGGTGAGCTCACTTTTCCTCTGGGTTCTTCCAGTCTTATTTCTATATATTACCTAGAAATCAGTCAGTCAGTCATTTTACAGTGGATTTACACTATGCATCTTTTTAAAAATCATAAACACAACAACTTCCCCATGCTAATAAATCAGTGCTCTTTTCATTGGTCTTAAAAGGCACACACTTTCTCCCGGATGTGCATGGTGTTACAAAGTGATCTCCTGTTATAAACAACACCTGTTTTTTTTTTTTCCCCCACTGTTACTGACAGATCTATGAAGAACATCCTTGAAGCTACAGATGCCCTGATTTCTCTAATCATTGTCCTTAGGGTACATTTCTAAAGTGGGAATTTCTGGGTCAAAAGAAGGCACATCCATCCTTACGCTCTTAATCTCTGTTGCCAAAATGCCCTCAGAAAAGGCAGCTCTGTTTACCCCTTTGTGACCAGCAGGGCAGCTGCCTCTTTGAGATGGAACCTGCACAAAAGCAGTAAGATCGACCCAAACTCACTGGCCCCCCCTCACCACTCTCGATGGTTACTAAGTGAAAACAGCTCAATTCCTCCACCCTAAGCACCCAGACTCTGCAAGTCTGGACTCTCCCTGTGGTGCAGTTTGCTGGCTTTTGAAGGGTAGTTTAGACTCGTTATTTGTCAGAACTCACAAGAGGGGTGAACCAGGAACAACCCCAGGATCCCAGTGCTTCCGTCACACAGACGGTCTGGCCTCTCAGAATGCAGGGTGTGATTGAGTTAAACAACAGAAGACAATCTTGGGCATGCACATAGGGACTTAGGGCCCCCAGTCAAGCCCACATGACCTTGTTATTTTTCTCCCCAGTGCTCAGTGCTGAAAGAAGAGTTAAAGAAGGAAGATGCCCAGAAGGAGAACGTGGAAGCCCAAGAGAAAGAAATAAAACTCTACAAAACCGTATGTTGAACCTCCTCACCCCTGGGCCTAGACTTTGACCAAACTTCAGGGCTTTGGAGGGGTTCCTTGGCCCCTTAGCTAGTACAAACTCTAGGGGTTTATGGGCGTCTTGTTTGTTAATGTAACTAACAAAATTCTTTGATTTCATTGCCTCAAAGAGATGGGTAGAAAACCTTGGAAAACATACTCTCCTAGTATTTTGTGGACAGTTGGCTCTAGGCCCCTCATCAGGTTTCCCCTGGAGCTGGGCTAGAGTTGGCCTGGAGACCAGGACAGAAGGTGGCCAGGTGGCCACTAGATGCTGCTAGAAATTCACCATGGTTCCTACCACTGAACTTGTGATATCCAAATCTTCATGGTCTGCTGTCACAAGTTTTATCACAGCCATGGGCGCTGTTATTGACATGAAACGCCTCCTTAAGTATCATTACTTAAATATTGATGCATTCAATTTTACATCAGTTCATGAAAACAAAATAAAAAGCAGACATATCATTGGCTTTGTATGGAAGGTGAATATAAAAATTAGTACAATGAAAAGATGAGCACTAAATGTGAATGTTCACCCTCTGCGCCAGTTGAATCCTCAAGAACATCACCAAGCATATATTTTCCATCTGTTGAGGCCATTTTGTCCTCTCAGGGGCACTGTTATTCTCTGTCTCAAATGGGAACAAAAAGAAAAGGCTCACTGTTCTTTTCTTCCAAGCTTTGCCCATGGTGTCTTCCAAATAACCCCTATTTAGACTGAACTCAAAATATATTCCAAGGAAAGAGAATCTAATGAGTGAATGTGTCCCTTGTACTGTTGAATCCATGCTGATCTTCAAAAGAAACTCAAATTTCCCCTCACCCTGCACTTGCAGTGCATCTGTTGAAAGAAACCCTACTTTGCTTTAAAGATGTAGAAGCATCTCCCAAGGAAAAGAGTTAAACTGATCTTAGACTAGGTCTAAGAAGCGGGTGAGGTGAGTTCCGGAGTTGACTTTGCTGTTGTTGAAACTTTCTCAGCAAATCCACGACATGGAGAAGGAAGTGAGAAAACTCATGGAGGAGCTGAAGAGGAGCAGTACAGAGCAGAGCCTGATCTCCAAGACGCTTCGGGAAAAGAGCAAGGTATGGCCAGGACGGGTCGCCATGGCAACCGCTCCAGGCTGGGCCTGCCAGACTCCAAAGTTCCCGTGTGTGACCACGACCCACTGCCTTCAATCATGAAATTACCCAGGAAAGAACTGATCCATTAAATCAAGTTTGTCAATGATGGTGTTCCAACTTAAATACTCTTACTGATTTGTGTGTGTGTGTGTCTTTGTGTTCCATCAGTCATTGGGAACGTTTTTTTTTTTTTTTTCCTAATCTCATCATGATTGTAGATTCGTGTTTCTTCTTTTAATATTGACAAGTTTTGCTTTATATATTGTGAGGTTGTGTTACTATGTGCATATAAATTTGGAATTCGAATACTTCCAGTAGAACAAGACTTTTGATCATCATAAAATGTCCCTTTTCATCTCTAGTAGTGTTTTCCTCTTAACATCTTTGTCATGTAGTGCCATCACTGGCTTGCTGTTGGTAAGAGTTTCCGTAGCATATGTTTTTCGTACTTTCTCTGTTAATTTTTAAAATTTGATTTATTTATTTGTTTTTGGCTGTGCTGGGTCTTCATTACCGCACACAGGCTTTCTCTAGACTTGTTGAGCAGGGACTACTCTCTAGTTGCAGTGCACCGGCTTCTCATTTCAGTGGCTTCTTGTTGTGGAGCATGGGCTTTGGGGTGCAAGGGCTCAGTAGTTGGGGCTCATGGGCTTAGTTGCCCCGTGGCATGTGGAATCTCCCGGGACCAGGGATCAAACCCGTGTCCTCTGCTTTGGCAGATGGATTCTTAACCACTGGACCACCAGGGAAGTCCTCTCTGTCAGTTTTTAAGTTTTAGATGTATAGCTTCCAAATAGCATATCATTTTTACAAAATCCAGTTTGACAGTCTTAGTCCATTTATGTTATATAATTACTGATACATTGGGATTTACATCTACTCTTGCTCAGGGCCAGTTGTACTATCTGTACTATATTGCTTTTTCTCTCCTTTCTTGCCTCCTTTTGAGTTGATGGTTTTCTATCATTCCACCTTCCCCCTCTATTAGCTTGGAAACATTTCACTTTTTTACTATCCTTTTAATAATAGTAAGACAATAGCATTTTATCCTTGCCTCACAATGAGCTCACATTAATTAAGTTTTTCACTCTTTTATTGCTCTCTTAGTGGTCATCCTAAAGATTACAATGTGCATTCTTTTTTAATTAATTTATTTCTTTGGCTATGCTGGGTTTTAGTTGTGGATCTTCATTGTGGCATGTTTGATCTTCAGTTGCAGCATGCAAACTCTTCAGCTGTGGCATGTGGAATCTAGTTCCCTGACCAGGAATTGAACCCAGTCTCCTGGCATTAGGAGCGCAGAGTCTTAGCCACTGGACACCACAGAAGTGCTTACAATGTGCGTTCTTAACTTACCAAGATGTAGTATTAGTTGATAATTATGCCCTTCTCCTTGACAATGCAGTGAATTTAGAACACCCTGACTTCACTTAACCCCTCCAGATTTGTAAGTCATTGTTGTCATTTTCTAAACTCCTCTCTATAGTTATTAATAAAACCCCCAAAAATATTATTGGTGTTTTTATATAATCAGTATCATATGCACACGTTACTCTTACTGTTGCTTGTCTTTTCTGCATTTCTGATCATCCATCTGCATTCATTTTTCTTGTCTCTGAAGAATACCCTTTAGTGTTTTCCTTCACTGTAGCTCTGTTGATGACAGTCTCAGATGTGTTTGTGTGTCTATCTTGAAATGTATATTTAACCTTCATTCTTAAAACACATTTGATTGCCTATTGAATTCTACAATGGCAGGTTTTTTCTTTCAGCACATTAGAAATAGCATTAGGTATGTCACTGCTGTCTTTTGGCTCCTGTTATTTCTATTTAGAAGCCATCTGTAAGCCTTATTATTGCACCTTTGCAAAACCTGTCTTTTTCTCTGGCTGCTTTTAAGATTTTCTCTTCCCTAGATTTCCAGCAGTTTTATTATGATTTATCTAGATGCGGATTCATTTTTATTTGCCTTGTTCAGAGCTCATCGGGGCTTCTTGAATCACTGGCTTGGTGTTTTGCGCTAGTTCTGGCACTCAGGCTCTATTGCACACAGGCAGTGGGGTGCTACCAGGGCTTCCGAACAGGGAACCAATATGTGACATTCGCAGCTAATAATGGTGAAAATGATAGCTGCAGTTTCTCATGGACTGGGCATTACCACCAAACATTTCATCTCTTTTCCCTCTTCACAACAGCGCCATGATCTAGAGATCATCCTCCCCGTTTTACAGATGAGAAAGTCAAGACCCCTTGTTAACTAGCAATGTAACTAGCCCAGTCGCATAGTTTTGGCTGACTCCAGGTTGGTCTGACTCCAGCCACCATTGTGTAGCCAACAGCCACGTGCTGCTCTTTACACTGATATTAATCAAAATTAAATACACTTTGAAATTCCTTTCCTCGGTCACACCAGCCCCTGCTTCAAGCGCTGGATCACCAGATGCAGTTCGTGGCTGCCGTATTAGATGATACAGGTTCAGAGCGTCTGTGTCATTGTAGAAAGGTCTGTAGGTCGAAGCTGCCCTACAGCCGGCTAACCCTCGCAGTACCGCTAAGGTTGTTCTGCAAGGCACTGAACTAGAGGCGAGGAGGCCAGTTGGCCCAGCCCAGCATGTCACGTGAGAGGGATGGGAGAACAGGCGTGGAGAGCAACAGGTGTGACGGAGGGAGCAGGGCGGTGCCTGAGGCTCAGGAGTGGGAATGGGGGAGCTATTTGTGGAGAACACAGGTAAGGGCAGAGTCCAGGGTTGGACTTGGCTTCTGCGGTGTGTGAAAATGCTGCTGAAATACAAGTCAGAGCATGCTTAGACCTGGGAGAAAACTAAGGCCCAGAAAGTGCTCTCCAAGGTAACAGAGCTGGGCAGTCGCCTTACCTCTACACCACTCTACTCAGGGTAAAGCTCCAAAGAATTCTTCTGGGTCTTTTATTACATCTCTGTGATCCCCCTTGTCAGATCCCTAATCAACACGGCCCATGGGATTTGTTTCAGCACAAAGTCTTTCCATTTATTTACAAGAGTTTGCCTGGTTTCTTGCTGGTGCCAGAGCCCTGGGCTCAGCAGGTGTATCCCTGAAATGATGAGGTGTGTCCCTGAAATGAGCAGCTGCAAAGCATACACTGGCCAGCAGAGGGTAGCATCAAGCGCTCCCGAGCACCTCAACTTGCCCCGTTACCCAAGCAAGGGAGGATTAGACAAGCAAGCTTCTGCACTTCAAACGCCTTCTTTTGCAGGCTGCAATTCTTAATAGACATTACTTAGCAAGCCTCTAGAGAGCTTTCCACCTGTGGGTGTGCTCAAAGTGGTAATGACAAATAGTTATGATGATAAACCCAATAATAACACTGACCAAGGACCCATCATGGGGTCTTAGAAGGAGACTGCATAGCAGACATCCCCATTCACCTTTTAAAAAATATATTTATTTATTTGGTTGCACTAGATCTTAATTGTTGCACGTGGGATCTCCTATCTTCATTGTGGCATGTGGGATCTAGTTCCCTGACCAGGGATCAAACCTGGGTGCCCTCCATTGAGAGCGAGGAGACTTAGCCACTGGACCACCAGGAAATTCCACACCCACCTTTTATAGG